TTAGTTGTGAAGGAGCCCCGGGGTGGACCTGGTGTTTTCGGTTCATTGATGGGTGACACCCATGCGCCCGGGGCATACCCAGCATTTGATATAGTCAATGGGTATCTTTCTGGGGCTGGGTTATCCTATAACTGCAGCATTTCTTGCACCTTTTCCTGGTGCTGTGCTCTCCTCGAGATCAGACACCGGGCTGGGTGGACCTTGGGTCTGATCCAATATGGCAATTGTGTTTTCACTGCCTTCAGCGGATCTGCACGTAGGTCAGTTAGCTCAAAAAGCGTTGAGGTCTGGTGCTGCAAAAGAGCCTGGGAGAGTCAAGCCATGGCCTTTCCCCACTCCCCCTTGCTGTGCTGCTGGTGTTTCCCATCAGTAATTAGCAGGAACAGATACTGCCGTTCCCCGGGATGGTTTCACTATGCTGACAATCCCCGGGCTCTCCCTAGGGATGGTCTCGGAGGTGATATGCCTTTGAAGCAATGCCCCCCCTTATTGATCTCCTGTCTGAATCGTTTCAGCAGGTGTTCACTCCCGGCTGCGGCATACCTGCGACCCAGCTGTAATGGTATTCGAGGCCAGCTCTGCTTTTAAAAGGTAACTTCTCAGGGGTCATGCTTGGCGTTTCAAATCTCACAAGCTGCCGTAGACCATCCTGGACCGAGCAGATTAGGGAATGGATGGGCCTGTGATCCTTGGAGACGAGCCCAGCCATGTTTGGGGGGTTGGATGATCTGGGATTTGAAGACCCACGTCCAAACATGCCCTTTCACATTTGGCTTCTGTTTGGATCTCCAGCTTGAAGTCTCGCCAGAAGAGCGGGGACGTGCTGCGTTTGTCTTTGTAGTAGAGCAGTAAGACTGGATGGGGTCTCAGGAGGTCGTTTAGTCCAGGGCCATCCCTGACTTCAACCATTTTTTTTTTGTCTAACCTGTTCTTAAAAGCTTTGGGAACGACCTCCTCATAACGGAGCGTGTTTATCAGCAGCTCCTGCTTTTAACCATCCCAGCAGCAGGAACCAATTACCGGCATGATTATGATGCAGCACATTGACTAAGCCTACGAGAGTGAACGCCCTCTGTTAATGAGCTGTTCTCCAGTCCCAGAGGGAGCGGCTGTAATCAGGCCGTGCTCCTTCCACCGTGCTCTCAAGCACATCCCATCCACATCGCCGCGCAGGGTGAAGCTGCCTTGAGGGGCATCCCGAGCAAGATGGGGTAGAGGGCTTGAAAGCGGGGCTGTAGGGGGTGGCCCTCAAGATTATTTTATCCCTTCATTCCCAGGTTGAACAGAGGATGGAAATGTGGGGGGAGCAGGCTGGAGATTGGCACTCCTGATTGCTCCACGGGAGGTGGTATAAATATAAGCCCCAAACTTGGCAAACCCTGTGTGCCCAGCAGTCAAGATTGCCCATCATTCAAGAGGGCAGGCGTCTCACGAAACCATCTGCAACTTGGGGCCGAACGAAGAGGGCATGCAAGTCTGATGCCATCCAAGAGAGGCCTGAATGCCAAGCCAAGACCTCGAGTCCAGCCTAAATCTAAGCCAGGCTGCAAAACTGAACCACATACGACTTGCTTGACATCAATGCAGCCCTACAAAGCCCACAGGTTTTACGCGCGCCGGCTTAGTTGACAAGCAGTCCCTTGAATAACTGGGGTGCTAATTGGGAAATGATCCAGATGCGAGCACTTCATCAGGATTCAGAGGAGGAAGAGAACAGGATTTGCAAGGTTCTGGTATGCGGTGTGTGTACTTGGTTTCTATCCCAAATCATAGAGTCATTATCTAATGAGCCAGTCCTTGACCCAGCTGAGGTCTGCTCGGCAAAGGATTTGAAGAAGGAACAACACAACAGCTGCTGATTACTACAATACTCCCCCTCCCGCTGCTCGTGGCATCCACCTGTGTCTCCTACCAGAGATTTTGATTGCAGACACTCTGGAGCAGGGCCCTGCTCTTGTTTCTGTGTGGCACGGAGAGTAGTGGGGCTTCTAGGTGCCGGCTTCACAGACACCACCCCTGCTTCTCCCCGATTCGGGAGGCAGATTCAGCTCCTGACAGGAGTTGCAGCAGCCTTGGGGTTGCTCTACCGGTCTACCCTCTTCTTGCTACCCGTATGCCCCCAAAGCGGCATCCTCTCTCTGTGCTCCCCACTGCCCAAGGTGTGTCAAATAGCGGGGGGACTGGATGCTGGTAGCACTGTGATTGCTGCAGATGCCTGTCGCTGGGAGGGGGATCTCAAGCTGGCCTCTTAGGGCCAAGGACCCCAGGCAGAGAGAGGGGGAGAGTGAGACACAGCATCCTTTTTGCTCAGAGCAGAGGAATCCTTGTTTCCTTACGCCTGCACGCCGCTGCCTCGCAGCTCAGCGAAGGCACAGGGCAGTTAACGTGTCCTGTCCCTCGGCAGTTTCACGGTCCCTGAGGAGTTATCACCGCTTTGCCTTGAAACTGCAGCCTAACGCTACAGCCGACTAAGCCCTAGAGACCTGGCGTCTGGTTGTTAGAAACCATGGAGGATGCTTGCTTCACCTTAATGAAGCTGTTGGGGCAACCCAAACCCTGAATCGTGTCATATTCCTCCCCCTTAATATGAGGGTCAAATGTTCTGGGAGTACCAAACCTCCATCCGTCCCCTTCCCCATGCCCGTTGCCATCATGTGTTTGTGCCGTTACCACTCTTCCCCCACGTGCCCACACCTGCCAGTGCCCGAAGGTGTCTGCAGGTGCTGAGGATGAGATGGGAAGCGGCAGGAGGGAAGGAGGAAGGGGGATGCACAGCTTAAGGCTCTGGGCAAAGATTCAGGGGATTTGGTTCCTGCTGCTGCCATGGAGCGCAGGCATGGAGTGACCCTGGGCAAAGCACTCGGGCAAGGCGCTGGCCGTTTTCCAGGATGACGGTCCTGCTCTCTCACCTTTTGCCTCTCCTCCATTGTCATTGCAAGTGTTTGAGGACAGGGGCTGTCTCCTGCTTGGTGATGTTCCAGCTCAATCCAGAGTGGGGACCATCGGTGTTACTATCCAAGTAACAGCAGCAATCCTCTATGTGCCCAGGGACATGCGTGCCTGGGCCTGCGTTTTTGGAGCATGAATATTTCAACCTCCTGCATCAAAGATCTGCTCCTACATAACCTTCATCCGAGCACGGTAATTGCAAACCAGAATTGTATGAAAGGAAGAATCTTTTTTTTTCCTCTCTCTCGAAATTTAACAGAAATGCACCAAAAGATTATATTTTCTCCGGTGGTTGTATATCACCATTTCCTATAATTGACATGTGTTATACATTTCACCATCTCTAGAGCTAGTAATTTATACAAAATGAGCATTGTTGTTAGCTCAAGGAGGGCACACTGAGTCCTTCCTATCTATCTATCTATCTATCTATCTATCTATCTATCCTTCTAATCTCTTCCTTCCCTTCCTGTTTTATAATGCATCCACAGAGAAGGAGGAATATATTAGCCTGATTTTCAGTTTCCCAGATCACTCTATGACTGTAGTTATTGCAACTATTTGAAGACACCGTGTACAGGAAGGAATGGATCTATTAACATAATAATAATGATGATACCAAATTACTCTCCCTCTTTGGAAATAGAGCTAGTCGTTTTTAGAAAGGCTTAACTGTTGGTAGCAGTCAATCAGCTGGCATAATTTGGGCTCTGAGTACTTGATAACTTTAAGGAAAATTGCTTTTCAGAATCAAGTGAGCATCCATTGACCTGAAGGAACATGGTTTGCTTCTCAGGGAATTTAGGACTCAAAACACAGCCTGGGCTATATTAGATGAGGCCTTCTTGAGAATGGCATAGAAATGTAAAATAATAAAACCACCATCTGTCTTGTCAGTCAATCAAAGCTAATAGAAGAGAGAAATTATCCCTCCGACTTTACCATTATTAGATCTTCTGTTTGTTAACAATGGGAAATGTCAGCAATGTAGAAAACTGGCTTATTGCCTCAAATTATTTCTAGGTGTCTTTATCCTGGCATGAATGAATATTGTTCTGATTCTGAAAGATATTTCTGGATGAATTCAATAGAGAGGCATGCTATGTAGCATCTATCCCGTAATTTATTGTTAGAGATAAAACTGAATGAAAGATGGAGAAAATCTGTTGTGAACATTTGGCTTTGAAGAATGGTGATGGCTCTAGAGCAGGGGTTCCCACACTGTGGTACACATACCCTTGACATCTTTTGGGGGGACGTGGAAGAAATTGTGTAATGGCAGATTTAACTTTCATTATAATAATAAGTGGCATTAAAATATAAAACATATGCCGGTAGGAGAACATGAGCAGCTGGTAAGTCTGGAAGGGGTATTCAATAAGAAAAGGTTTGGGAAACTCTTCTCTAGACAAACCTGAGGCCTGTTCCTGCAGGCTGCTGGGACTCTTGTATTGCACTCAAGCCAAGATCTCTTACGATGAAGTTAACACAAGGGTGGGCAATTATTTGGGCTGGAGGGCCACTTAAGGAGTTTTGGTGAGCTGTCGCAGACTGGGTCAGCAGCCTACTGACCCCCTCCTTGGCCCCCCACAAAACTCCCTAAGTTGAGGGCCACACTTCTCTCTCTCTTACCCCCACCCTATCCCCACCCCACCTGAAGCTGCAGCATGCTCCGATCCTCACCCTGCCCACCCAATACTATGCAGTGGCCAGAGCCACTGGCTGCCTGCAAGTCGTATCCCATGAGTTCATGACCACCTGCCCATGGGCCACGTACATCAGTCGGCAGGCCAGATCCAGCCCATGGACCGTATTTTGCCCACCCCTGTGTCAGCATCTATAACAGGGAACCCTTACCCTGTTAGGGAAAAGAGAAAGAGGCTTTTTCTGGGAAGGGTTTTTGTGAGCCAGACAAAGGCAGCTGACAAGGCGGAGGTTAATAAACAGCCCTGTGGTCAGGCCAGCTGATAGGTCACCTGAGCAAATGTGAATGGGACTTGAGCAGCATATAAGCCTGGGACTGAGTCATGCCAGGGAGTCTTGCCCTGCAAGCCACTGGATGAAGAACCCCTGGCCAGGAAGGCTACAGGGGAATACCGGGCTGACCACCCTAAGGACTGCCAGCCAAATGCTGGTGCCCTATGAAGGAACACAACCCCAGGTAAGGGGAAGTCTTGCTGCAAAACAGCAAGCTATTTGCTACACCTGGAGCAGGTTAAATTTCTGTTACAAACAGGGTGCCTTTTACCTTTGAGTTTTGGACTGGCAGTCCGAGATTGGGACTAGCAGGGGTGATATGGAGGTCACAGCCGTGCCTGAAGGCACAAGATGGACTGGAGTCCTACCAGGGGCTGAGAGCTCAAGACATACTGGGCTTGAGCCTTATGGGGTGAAAGCCCAGGAAAGGATTGCAGTCAACACAACTCAAGCCAGGTAGGGCTGGGGGCCCAGCTGGAGCCAAAGCAGGCTCAGCACCCAGAGCAAGGTAGAGACAGGGCAAGGGGCCCAAAACTAAAATAACTGAGAGAAGAGCTGGTGCCTAGAAGCCAGGTCCAGAACAGTGGACCCAGCTAGAGAAACACAGCGGAGGTTGCGAAGGCTGGAGCCCCAACGAGAGAAGGGTGGTACAGTGACATTTGTGAGGCCTGGGCATGGTGTAAGGGGTGGTCAGAGCCACATAATGAGCCCTTAAGGTGGAAAGTAGAGATGTCTGAGCTCAGAAGTGTGAGATCTGACTTGGGAAACCCTGGGGCAGCCTGCCTTTTTCTAAAAGATAAACACATCAAGGCAAGGCAGACAATTGAAAGACAAGAACAAAGTTGATAAGGGCTGAGGGGGCTCCAGGGACATTACGGCCATCCCTAGAGAGGGATCCTGTTACAGTATCTCATAGGTTAGACCCAGGTTTGGCATAGCTGGGTTGATTTATGAACTATGATAGATTCCACTGGTCTAGTCCATGGGTGTCAAGCCCACAGGCTGGATACCATACATGGAGCCATATGATCCAGTCCATAGGTCCTTGATGGCCTCAGAGCCAGTCTGGCCTATGCTATGTGAAAACCCAGAGCCATGGGTGCTTCACATAGCACAGAGGGCTGACACAATATGCACTGCATGCTGGGCCTCACTGGACTGGGCCTGCACACTGGCTCTGGTGTTCACAGATGGCCTGGGACCCAATCTGAACTGGCCAAGAGCCATGGCACAGGCCCATCTGGCAGGACACTGCATGCAGCACATGCCCATGCCAGCTCCCTGGGCCATGGGCAGTGCCCACACAGTCCATGGGTCTCAGGCACCACAAGCCCTGGAGTGGCTGATACACATTGCCCATGGCACAGGGGACTAGCACATAGAGCACACTGCATGTAGCACCCCTCCAGACTGGCCCTGTGTGCTGGCTCCAGCGTGGTCCCACTTAGCCTGCAATTCACCCTCATGCAGCCTGTGAGGCCGGAGGAGTTGAGACCCTGGATCTAGGCTTTGGCAAAAGGCACGTAGAAGACTGTCCTTAAAGTGGAAGGATTTATTAAAGATAGCAGCAACAGGTACAAACAAGCTTCCCCACAACTTGAAATCCAGCTTTGTCCTCACTGTTTACCATGCTCGGTCTTGAATCAACTAGGACAGGCATTAGATGTCTGATGTTCACTAATACACAGCAAGGGCATGTCAAAGCAGAGGCTGATGACGAAAAAGCCCATGAAGAGGTCATGGTGACGTATCCTCAGACGGGCACATCACATGCTGCAGAAGGGGGTTCCCGGCAGGAGGTGAATGCTGTGGCACAGGACTTGCCACCTGCACTCCTATGCTCGCTCTGTGCTCGCATGCCCATGGCTCCTTGGCACATGCAGATAACCAGAGCTTCCCAGATCACGTAGCACTTGCCCCTCCAGGTAAAACAGTTGGACTTGCTACAGCCATTAAATATCCTGGGATCATTCATATTCCCCTCTGATTCCTGCATTTGCCCAGATAGGAATGGGATGCAGTAGGTAGTAACTGTGGAGCACAAGATCAATGGCTAATAGCTCTCTGCAGGATTAGACTGAAGACCTGTGGAGGGTCATTACCCTTAATTGCAGCTGCTTAGAGATGAATTAGAAATGCCTCAGGGTTAAGGCTTCCCTGGAGGTCAGCAGAGTTGCGCAGTGGGTGGATGTGACCCATGTCACAAGGCAGCTTGGTAATTGTCTTAAGCACTTTGCTCACAGGGCGTCTGCCCCTGAGCTAGCTCATCCCAGTGACGCCTCTCCTGTCACTTCAGTGCAGCGGAGTGGCACTCTGCAATTATAATAATAACAGGCTCCCATGCGGAGGCTGACCGGTTACACGTTGTTGCATTTTAATTGTGGGATGTCCCTGTCGGGGAGCAGCACGGGGGGAGTGGATGGGAGTTTTGCCACGGACACCAGTGGAGCCCTGAGCTCAGCCCAGTCATAGCCAATGCTGGGTGCAGGTAGTTACACAGTGGGATCAGGGCGGCCGCCCCTGTCTGAGCCCGTCTCCCGTGTGTATCAAGAGGTTGGCTGGATTGGGGCAGGGGCGGCTCTGGAGCTCCCTCTGTCCCCAGGGCAGCTCGGCACAGTGGCAGCGGAGGGTAGGGGAGATGGGAAGGGGCTGCTGAGCAAAGGGGAAGGATGAGGATGCCAAAAGCAGGGGAGGCTCCTTCCTGATTCAGGGACTTAAAGTCCCCGGCTGCTGTCCCATGCCATCCTGGTGAAGGGGAGCTGGGAGTGGGGGTGCACCCCCTTTACAAAACCCTGGATCTGCCCATGGGTGGTTGGAGCCCCCTGGCCATGCATTTAGGTCGATGTGTTTATAAATGGCTTCGCCGGGTACTTCCGCTGCTGACTGCCACTACTGATGTCATAGGCCTGACTGGCAGGGGGACAGAGCCCCTCCGTTTCCAGCCGGAGCCCATTGAAAATCAGGGTCCAAGTACCCCATGCTAGGAAACTGAGCTATGGTGTCCCCCCAACATTGCAAGCTGCTTCTGGAAACAGGCGGCATTGACTATGCTGAAAACCTTTGAGCTGCCTGGTTTCCTGCTTGCAGGAAATCTTTGAGTCATTCATCTGGTTCTCTGCCTGTCTGTGGGGAGGAGGGGGAAATGATTCAAACTTCTACAGAAAGGCAGGTCCTAGAGGGCCGTAACCAGGTCTTCAATCAGAGAGATGTGTGTAGGCTGCAGCTGACCAACCACCTGACAAAGCCATGAATCAGGTCTGCAGCTTTATCATCTCAGCAATATTTTTGGGCTCATAAACATTGCGTGGCCCTGGCAGATTGCCCTAATAAAATGCCAATTGCCTGATAACATCTAAAATTAAACCACAGCAATGTGCTGATAGGGGGAGATCATCAACACTGTCGATGCTACAGTAGATATTTTGAAATGGTTTGTACAATGCACCGAGGATCTTGGCACAGGGGAAATCTAGAAATATTAGTGGCATGTGCTTACGTGCAAGCAGGCGTTTATAACTCCTGGGACTTATGGAGCACCTGTTATCTGAGGATCTCCCCCATATCTTATCAGCATTGGCCAATCAAACCTCTGCCCCCTACACTAAAGGAGATAAGTTTTATGGAAGGAGAAACTGAGGCTCAGAGAGTTGAAATGCTTGCTCTTGATACAAACAGCCTCCGTGCCAGGGGACGGGTAGGCTGCCAACATAACTCCCACCTTCAAGAAAGGCTCCAGAGTCTATCCTGGGAACTGCAGTCCGATGAGTCTCGCCTTTATCCCTGGAAAGTGGGTATAATCTATGATAACGAATAAAATCAGCAGTTATATGAACAAATATGGTTTGCTGGGGATCATATTTGAAAAGATATCTGAAAAGAGCCATCTAGGCAAGGGATGAAAGGGTGTGCTGCTAAGGAAGCCTGCAAAAAATAGTAGGAATGTGTTGGGATAAAATCAGGAAAGCAAAGGCAGCAATGAGTTACAACAGGCAAAGATGACAAGAAGGGATTCCCCGAGTAGGTCAGCTAGAAAAGACAGTTCAGAGAAACTCTGCCTTTGCTGCTCATGCAGAAGGGGGATTAATAGTGGAAGGAAAGCGGAGCTGCTCGAGAGCTATTCTGCTTCAGGCTGCGCCAGGAATGAAACAAGTAATATAAAATGCATGCTAATGAAGAAGGATAAGGGATGCAGATCATGGTAAGGGAAGAACACCTCAGAGCACTTATGGCCATTTAAAATTGATTTAAGTCAGCAGAGCTGATCAGCATTCAGTCTGGATGGCACTGGCCAAAGAAATCTCAGAGCTGGTGGCAATATTTGCAAACTCTCGTCTTCCCGGGAGGACTGGGGGATTCCAGATTAATCAGCCTGATATCAACACCTGAGGAGTTCCTATAGCGAAGTATAAAACTTTCCTTATTTGTAAATCTCTGGCTGTCACTAGTAGCCAACACAGGCTTGTCAAGAGCAAATCTTACCAAACTAACCAGATTCTCTTTTTTGACTGGGAAGCAGTTTTGGTGCATAAGGAGAATACAGATCCCATTTTTAACATGGTCCCACATGATATTCTCATTAGCAAGCTAGAGAGATGCAGGGTAGAGAGAACTGCCATTAAGTAGCTCCATAATAGCCTGAATATCTGGAAGCAGCTCATGGGTTGATGTCCCACTGGCAGGACATCTCGGGTGAGTTTCCTCAGGGGTCCGTTCTGGCTCCAGCGCTGTTTGACCTTGCAATCGGTGCCGTGACTTCAGGCCTCTGAGTACCGATCAAGTTTGCAGTGATGGACAAGTGGGAAGAGTTGCAAGCACTTTTAGGAGGTCAGGGCAAAAAGTCAACAAGGTCTTGAGAAATTGGAGAACCGAGCTGTGTGCAACAAAATGACATTCAAGCAAGGCCAGCGCAGGATGCCAAACAGGGAGGAAAAACGAACCGGACAAACTCAGCTTTAGGGAGGAGTGACTAGTGAGTAGCATTTCTGCAAAGGATCTGGGGGTTTTGGTGGATCACAGGCTCAACAGGAGTCAGCATTGATAAAATCAAATTTTGGGCTACATGAACAGGAGCTTTGCATACAAAGCGTGGGAGGTGAGCAGCACCGCTCTGCCTGGCAGCGGTTAGGCCTCAGCTGTTCTGGGCTCTGCATTTTGAAAGGATGTCAGGAAACTGGAGAGGGTCCACAGCTGAATGATGCAAAGGATAAAGGAATTGGGAGCTGGGCAGGGCAAGGTTGAAGGAAGTATGACGGTTTGGTTTGGAGAGGAGATTAATGGGGGGGCAGTTCTCAAATATTTGAACGGCTGCTGTAAAGACAGCAGAGGAAAATTGTTCTGCCTTGCCATAGAGAGCAGGATGAGAGGTGATGGGTTTAACCTGCAGCACGGCACATTTAGAGCAAATCTCAGGAAAAGCTTCCTAACAGCAAGAGCAGTGGGACAGTGGAACGAGCTATGTGGGGATGTGTGGTGGGATCGCCACCCTTGGGAAGGTTTCTGAGAAGAGGCCTTGGAGGCATCTGCCAGCAATGAGTTAGGACAGCGAATCCTGCATCCGTGCCAGGTATAGGACTTGCTTGACACTTCCAGCCTCATGGGTCTGCAGTTGTCTCGGTGTTTCCATGTATTTCCCCATCTCCCCGTCCGCCTCTGCTGTCCCACTTCTTCACTGACTGCACCGCCACCCACCTTTCTCAGGTGCAAAACCACATTTCTCTCCTTCCGGCCTGGACGTCTGGGTTCGTGTCCCATTGCTGTCCACTGCGATCACCTCCACGGGTCTGAAATTACTTCTGTGCCGACATCGCTGCTCTCTCTCAGGGCCAGCGATGGAGCTACTCGGAGACCAGGCAATGTTCATGTAACAAAATACAAAAAGGGTTGGAGGCAGCCTGGCCTAGTGATCCTGGACTGGGGCTGAGCAGACTTCAGTCCTGTCCCTGGTGAACTGTGGGCACCTCTGTCATCTTGCATTTCAAGTGGGGTCATGCCACTAACCTGTATAAAGTGCTTAAAGAGCTATAGGAAGCCTGCAAAATTCAAAGATTGTAGTTTTATATGTTTTCTTCTAAGGTTTTCACACCTGCCACATCTGGCTGCCACCTTCTGTCTTAATTAATAAGAGGAAAGGGCTGCCGTTTTGTTCTATTTGTGTAACAGCAACCACGGGAGGGTGCTGCCCTGAGCCTGGGAATGCAACTAATCCTAAGCCTGTGATCACGAACTGAAGAGGAGGAAGCACTGGCGTGTGAGCAGAAGGAGGTGAGGCCCCACGGCTTGTGGTGTCGACAAAGGAATGGGCTGATCGGGGATTCGTGAACACCGTGAAGGGCAGAGGCAGGACCTCTGAGAGGCCCTTTGCCTTTGTGATGCCCCTGATTTAGTCTTTGCACGAACAAGCCACTTTAAAGCGTGCACCTAGTTTCGGGAAGTCCAAGATATGCTGATCTTGAACCCTAGAAATGCACATGGCTGCGTAGTGTGGATGGTAGAGATTGACTGTCCCTCAGATATTAGGTGCAGGAGAAGGATGCTCCGCCTGTATAACTTATATCCTTACGAGTTGAACTTGAGACTTATTTCCTAGTAGCTTGTTTAGCTCCCTCCATCTTTTCTTCCCCCCTTATCTCAGCTCTCCTGTCCTTTCCTTCTGAGAACACCATCCGTTTGCCGCTGACCTTGATCTCACTTCTTGCCGTCTGGATATGTATTGATCTAGATAAGATGTGATTATATTTTAACAAGCGTGCTACATTCCAGAAAGTCTTCATCCTGGGCACGGCATGGCACGGCACGAGCAGGCAGAGGGGGAAAGGGAGGCAAACGGGGAAGCTCGGACGCAGGCTGCTGCACTCTACAAACATTCAAGGGACACGAATAGCCGAGGCAACCCAAGCTGAAGGCCAACTTTCTGCACGGTCACAGTGTGTTGGCTCTTATATGCCAAGGCTCTTCACGAGCCCTTTTAAGTCAACAAAAGTCTTGTCCCTGATTTCAGCTGGCTTTGGCTCAGGTCATTGTAGAATAGCCCATTGTACAAGGCTGCCCTTGAGCGGTGACGTGTTATACGGAGTATGCTACTAGAGGAAGAAAATGAAGTTCACTCCAGTGCTAAGGACCTGATTGAAAGCTGGGAAAAACCAACATTTCTCTTCTTAGCTCTGAATTGGGGAGGAGCGGGGTTTAAAGTGAAATCTCAGATGATTTCCATGCCCTCAATGAAGTGGAAAAGAGTCGAAAACTTTCATGAAGCAAAAATCTGAAAGGCAGAAAAAAAAATTGGTTCAGGTCACACAGTTTTCCCAACACTTTTGCAACATTTTGTTTCCAGAGCAGCCTTTATTAGATTTATAATAAATGAACTTAAATGTGAAAATACAAAGTCATTTTGAATGGAAAAGTATTCATCCATTCCACCCCTGCTGCAAAGTGCTGGGAGGAATGAGCAGAAAGCAAAGAAAGAAGGGACCCAGAATCGAAACCCTGCAATAACCCCGGTGGGAAAAGACATTGTAGAGTAAGTTTAACATTGTAAACACCTCCAGGAACATCTGGAGGGTCTGGAAGGAAAAAAAAATCACTGCAGAAAGTGAATAAATGAAAAGGGTAGAGGTAGACTAGAGTAGGAAGGAAGAAGAAATTACCACATTCCTTCAAATAGTGCACACTTTAAAACATGAAATACGTCTTCTAAACATGGTCTGTGTCTGAAATGAAAAGGGAAAGAATTAAGTATTATAGGCATCATGTAAAGGCTGTATCTTTGTATTTGACATTCATTTTTTTGTCCTTAGTCCAAAGTTGAGAGTCATAAAATTTGGGTGCATCTTCAATTGAAGGATATCTTCTATACCAGGGAACAGAGAAGAAACTCAGCCAGTGCAGCCTCCTGCTAGAGCTCTCACATAGCCGTAGCAGCATCTTGACTTCGTGGATAGAGACCCGATTGCTTGAAGTTCAGAAAGCTGAAGTCCTATTGGCTTCCTGAGTGAGCTTGGGAGTTGCTTCCCTGCTATGTGACTCTGTTTGCCCTTCTGTAAAATGGGAATAATGATGCCAACTTACTTTGTCAAATGCTTTTCAATGGACTGAAATAGAAAACTGCACCAGAGCTAGGTGTTGTTATTTGTTACCAGAAGCTCCTGTCAGGATCTGGACCTGGCTATGGCCAGGCTGTATATATGAGATCTTCCTTGCCTCGATGAACTTACAGGCAAAAGGCCTGATCTGATGAACCCCAAAGCATTTGCATCTCTCTACCCCTGTGACCAGCAGCCTTTGGCTTGCTGCTTTTTTCACACCCCAAATGTTCCTGTTCACCTTTCCCCTTACAAGAGACTGTTTTTTCTTTCCATCAGATACTGCAGATTGAAGCCAAGAGAGTGAGTCTCAGACACAAAGTCATGTCCGTGTAAAATCAGGCACAGGGCAGACGATTACCATACCCAAGGTGGGTCAAGGGGAAGTTGTCAAATGCATTCATTAGTTGTACATCAGTGTTACGACGACTGGAACATATTGAATCAGCATTTTCCTCTCCCGTAAGCCTAGCTGTTGCTTGTGGGTAGACTTCTTATAGGTTCATTGGTAGTGCTGGGTGTTGAGGAGGACCTTGAGAGAAGAAGGGATGGTGGGTGTATAGATGGGTTCAGGGAACAAATGCCAAGAGGCTTGTAGGAGCAGTGGGAAAGGAGGTGAAGGAGGATGGTCTTGTTAGAGGGCATGGGACGGACACAAGAAGAAGTGAGGTGAACAGAGATAAGCAGGGATGGGCAAGATACAAAAGGCTGGTGAGATGAAGGCAAGACGTGTGAATGCAGTGCAGTGGGTCAGAGGTGCACCAGTGGAGGGATTTGGAGGAGAGATGCCAGAATAGTGCAGACTGGGTCAGAAATGATCCTGGACGCTGCTCCAAATGGATCACGGAGCTGGAACAGCTGGAAGCAGATGCTGCTGCCAAGAAGTGAGTCCAGCCACGGCGCACCCGGGGGTGGTGGGACCATGCGCACATGCCCCTTCCTGTGCCTGGGCCACGTGGGACTGAGGGTCCTGCCGTGAGCCAGACAAAATCCCTTGGCAGGCCAGATCTGGGCCATATTTTGCCCAGCCCTGGACTAGAGGTCCTGAGATAAGGCAATCAAATGCTCACCAGGGGCTTTGTTTCACATCACTGCTCAGTCAGTTGGGGCTTGCAAGCCCTTCTCCATCTTTTATCCATAAAACATGTGCATGGAGATGGGGCCTCTCCCAACAGAAAGGCCTTGCCTCGAAGAGAAGATGACCACCCTGTATAAAGGGGTGGGTTTTTTTAGTGAATCATTATGAACAAAACACGGTGTTAGTAAAGCCTGTTTAAGGAGCTTCCTATTGATCCGGCTCCCTCTGACAATGATGCTTTTGCAGCCGTGCGTGGTTTGACACTTCCCAGGGATAACTGGGTCATTGCTGAAAATAAGGGTCAATGCGCGTGGAGGATAAAAAAGACAAGGGCTCCTCCCTTTCAGGGAAGCTTGTGACTTGGCCTCACGTGGGGACGGGAGATGCATGGCAAGTGCAAAACCTGGGCAGAGAAAATGATGATTTCTATTTGGGGCCCATCATTAAGGTGCTGTCGATGTAGAAGGGGCTCGGCGAATGCCGCACCGACGAATTGAGCAGACACTGCTCTAGGGCTGAGCATCAAAGCTGGTTTCCTAAGCGATGCTAAAGCCCCGTCTGTTCTCACAGACTTAACTCCTGATGCATACACCTGGTTAAGGCAGCGGGCATGGATCACTGTAACGACAGCCAGGCCATGGGGTCATGCTACTTGCACCAGCTGAGGGTTTGGCCCAAGCTAGTCTCGATCCCAAAACTGCTCCCTCCTAGGAAAGACAAAATGTCCTGCGGCTAACAGGGAAATGTGATTATTCACGACTGTCAATCAGGAAATTCATGTTAATAAGAGGCTACGTTCAAGGTGGGGCTTGCCATTGCAGGATTCTCTGTTTACGGACGGTGAAGCTAAGTAACGCCGCCTTGTCTTGAAGATCAGAAATAAAAGCAAGTTCAACGGCATTTTATTGAGTGACCAAAGGATCACTGCCCTGAAGTGAAACATTAACAAGGCCTGGAGAGAAAAAACCAGGAGCGCTTTTCGGGATTCCTTTTCAGCCAGAGCCAGGCTGGGATCATCTGGAGCGCGGGACAGAGCAGACATGGCTGAGGACGGCACAAAGCAGACGGCCAAGGGAGAAACAGGTGAGAGATTCGGTATTTGCTTTCCTTCCTGATGGCAGAAAAGACAGGGTAAACAGAGCACCCGGAGGTACACGCAGGTTGTGTTTGCCTGTTGCTTAGTGGCTGCGGACCAGATTTTTAATGGTCTTTGGCTACTGGCCCAGTACTGATCACAATGAAAGTCAAGTGTGCAAACACCTTTAAAAGTTAGAACAGGTGCCTGTGCTGGAGACGCCTGGAGTCTGCTCCTGCCTCTGCTACTGTTCTGATATTTGGCCTTTGGCAAATCACTTAGCCTCCTGGAGACAGATCCTTCGATGAGGCAAATCAGTGCAGCTCTGTGCAAAGCAATGCCGCTCTGCTTTTCCACCCCCTTTGAGAGTTTGGCCCTCCCTGCCTCAGTTTACCATTACTCATTTAAAACCATCCTGATGTGCCATGCTGTAGGCTAGTGCCTTGCATCCAGGGCTTCAGAGAGGTTGAAGTCAGCAGAGGTCCTCTGACCTCCTGCATAACACAGGCTATAGTGTTTGCCGTGTATTAAGTCCAAAGACCTGTGTTTGACCAAAGCAACCAGTGCTTGGCTAAACCACATCTGCTAGGAAAGCATGCAGTCTTGGCCTGAAGACATTAAGGCTAGGTACAGACATTCAAAAAGCCCGAGGTGGAATCGCTCAAACCTCCGCGGGTTTCTGTAAGCACCCCGGTTTAGGTCGGGACCGAACAAAACGGGAGTTCACGTTTGGAGGGAGCGGTGAGGCTGCCTGCATCGTTGAGGCCAGCAGGTTGAGGGTGCTCGAGTGAGACCCACAGCATCCCTGGGCTGTCGGAGATTGCAGAGCGCTGCTGAGCCAGTGCCAGGCATCTCCAGCCCGCTCTGCTCCCTGTCACTGCCCTGGCTCATGGGCCCTTGGGTGTTTCTCAGTGGGTTCCCACCCTCCCCGCAAGCCAGAGCGGTGCCGGGGAGCTGGGCACGGCCGAGCCCCTCTCCGCCGTCAGCAGTGAGCATCAGCTAAAGGCTTCTGCAGCTTGCCCAGGTCTGACGCGACGCCAGCTCCTGGGGCCGTGGGTGTCTCTTGGTGGGTGTGTAGGAGCCCATGCCCCTGGGAGCCAGGCATGGCCAACCCCCTCCTCCCAGAAGCAATGAGCATCAGTAGCAGGCATCTGCAGCCCCCTGCGAGGGGGGACTAGCAGGGACCTGCAAAGGCACCTGGGATACTGGCGGACAGCAACCAACCTTTTTTCACAAGCTGACCTGGTGTTGAAGTTATGTTCACCGGACCAATCTAGATCGATTTAAGTTGGATACACAGGTTTATCTTAGACCGGGGTTCTCCATTTTTAAAGCAGTCTGCGTGCTCCCAACTTCTGTTCAGTTGTTATAGACCGGTTTGCAACCACCTAAACTAGAAAAAAGTGTCATGTCTGTACCTGGCCTAAGAGATGGCAAGTCCCCATCTCCCTTTGCTGGTTCATTGCAAGAATGGATCGCCTTCACTGCTGATAGTTTGAGCTATGAAGGGAAACAAATTGGTGCATAAGTCCAAAAGACCTGCCTGGAAAACTTCACAAATCTCCTTTTAGTCTGAAGTGGAAATACCGTGTGCTTGTACAAGCACATTGACTGCAGGAAAGCAACAAAGATAACCTAGGAAGCGATGTTAAATACAGATGGGTAGACCTAGAGGTCACATCCGACATTTTGGTGGGGTGTTTCTCATAACCTGCCTGTTAATATTAAAATCTTGACTAAATGGAAAGAGAAGAGGTGGTGGAAAGGACAGTAATATATAGCAAAAAAAAAAAAATCTGCACTCCCAGTGAGATGTGATGCAATATTGCAATAAACAGTCGTGAAATAACTTGGGTAAAGATCTATGGACTCTAAAGGAAAAGGGAATTGCAATAGGGCATTAGACCTCCCCAAGGCTAATGGAGAGCAATAATGAAAAGTCCTGACTCTTAATGACCTCATATATAATGATATATTATATCATGAAATATAGGGCTGTAAGGGAAACTATGTAGTCTGTCCTTTGCTCGTGGCAGGCCACCCCCAACATGTTTGTCTAACCGGTTCTTGAGAAAGCCCTGAGCAGGGATTCTCAGTCCTCCTTTAAAGTGCTTAAGTATCCTTGTAGCTAAGACTTTTTTCCTAATTACTAATTTAAATCTCTTTAGTGCAAATTAGAATAATAGAAAACTAGGGCTGAAGAGGAGGTCATCTATTTCAACTGCCTGCTCAAAGCAGGATCATCCTTGTATAAACCATCTCATCCAAGTATTTTGTCTAACTTGCTCTTACAGCTTCTCATGCTGGGGAGTCTTCAGCCTCTCTGCCTAGTCTAAATATGGATAGAGAACAGTCCATCAGCTTTCTCCTTTCCACATTTGAATACTGTTACCAAATCCCCACTCTTGGTTTTCTCCAGACTAAATAACCTCTGTTCTTCCAGCCTTTCCTTCTAGGGTTTCATAGACCTCCAATCTATATCTATCTATCTATCTATCTATAGATATATATAGATATAGATATATATAGATATCTATCTATCTATCTATCTATCTATCTATAGCGACCTACCTCTACCTATATAGATAGATAAAGATAGATATATAGAGATATATATTTGTTCTGCACTGAACTCTTTCCAATCTTTCTTGAAGTGTGTTTCCTGAAACTGGACACAGTACTCCAGGTGAAGCTTCACCGGGGCTGAATAGAGGGGATGGATCTCTTCCCTTGATTTGCAGGTGATGCCGCTGTTAGCACAAACCAGTACCCTATGGACTTTTTCTTGCAAAAGGAGCACACAGTGGACTTGCACTTTGCCTGGGATCCCCCAGGTTCTTCCCTGGAGTAGTGCAGCCTGGGAAACCAGTTGTCCCACAGTCTGTATGTATGCATTTAATTGTCCCAGACCAAGGGCAGGACTTGGCACTTGTCCTTATTGAACTTCATGGCTAGGGACAGACATTCAAAAAGCCCGAGCCTGAATTGATTCAATCTTTGCAAGTTAGTCTAACCTGCGTAGATTGAACCAATTTGCAAGTAAATAGATATACACCTTTGATTCTGGAGATGCAGGCACATGCCTGCAGTGGCTCAGGCTAGAAGCTGGGGGATGCTTGAGTGAGCCCCGGGCTGCAGGGAAGCTGTGCTGAGAGCGGAGGCATGGCCAGATCCTGGCAGGCCTAAGTATGATTGGGGAGGGGTTTAAACCCCAACCCTGCCTGCAGGGACCTAAGCCAGGGTTTGCCTGGAGGGCGAGGGGAATGCATGCCCTGCTGGGGTCCCCATCCCCACAAACTTGCTTGCTGCTCCAGTTGCAGGAGCGTGGCCAGACCCCTGTAGCCTGAGGAGCAGTGGGGGTTTAATTCCCCAATTTTAGCAGGGGGTGGCACAGGCAGTGATAGGCTCTGCTTGTGCACCCTCGGCCATGACAGCCAGATGCCAGTAGCCTGAAGGGAAGCGGGGAGTGGTGCAGGCACTGACACAGCTCTGGCTCCATCCTGTGCTGAAGATCCCATCATGCAGGGCCTGTGCTGCAGTGCCTGGGCCGAGTCCCTCGGAGGAGCTGCGAGTGGCGCCCATGCCAAGGTGGGTCCAGCCGCGGGGAGGGGGTAGAGGATGTGACCCGGCTGCAGGCGCGGAGGGAGGGTGAGGGGGAGCCAGGGCTGATCACGAAGACTGACTCACCGCTGCCTCCTACTGCAGCAGCACAGCCCAGGCTGGCGAGACCCTAGAAGGTGGGGGTCAGCACCTGCCATCTCTCACCTCCAGCCCAACATGGGGGCCCCAGTTTGCAGGGGGACTGCAGCTGGAGTGCAGCTCCCCACTCCTCTCCCTCTCCCAGCCGCAGCGGTGGAGCGAACTGTTGCAGTGGCTGGAGGGGAGGCACCTGTCGCCTGCCGCCTGCTCGCAGTGGCGCTGGGCGTTCGGGGTGGGCTGCCACAGGTCAATTGCCCATGCCCCTGGGCTGCAGCAGGCTGTGGCGATCCATTGCTTGCCACTGCCCATGCCCATGGCCTGTGGCAGCTCAGTTCGAGCACCCGCACTGCTGTGAGCAGATGGTGGGTGACAGGCGCCTCACCTCCACCTGCTGTGATGGTTAACTCCGCTGCCAACAGGAGGCGGAGGGGATGGGGAGCCGTGCTCCAGCTGCAGTCTGCCTGCAAACCACGGCTCCCACGTGGGGCTGGAGGTGGGGGCGGTGGGCACTGATGCCTGCCCCCTAGGGCTGTCCCAACCTGTGCCCTGGGTCCTGCCAGAGGGGATCTTCAGCATGGGATGGAGCCCACGCTGGTGCTGCCCTTTCCCCTCAGGCTACCAGGGTTTGGCCATGCTCCTGCTCCTGCTGCTGAAGCAGCAAGCGGGGTGAGGATGCCTGGCAAGGGCTGCTGCCCCCCTGCCAGGCAGACCTGGCTGCACTCCAGAGCAGGGTTTCACACCCCCACCCCCTTCTCCGCCAGCCAGGGCAGTGATAATGCTCCAGCTAGGGAGGAGAGTGGTGGGGCCAACCCTGCGTGGCAGGAACAGACAGCCCAGCCCAGCTCAGGGATGCAAAGCATGCTGGGATGCTGGGGGACACTGATTTAACTTAAACCAGGAAGGCGTCTGGGACAGAAGTTGCATAAACCGGTTTGACCTCAATCAGTTAAGCCTGATACTACATTCAACCAGGTTAAACTAGTTTCAGCCATTTTGAAGCTGGTTTATGTGCACTGAACATCTATTCTGTTATAGGTTTAAACTGGTGCCTGATCACTTAAACCAGTTTATGTGTAACTTCTGTCCCTAGCGCATTTGATTAATCTTGGCCCATTTTTTCAGTTGATCAAGGTCATTTTAAAGCCTAATGACATCTGCAAGTGTGATAAGCCCGTTACTTCTCGTTCTACCTTTAGTGGGCATGGAGAACATTTGATCACTATCCTCTGTCTCACAACACTTCACATTTGGAAGGCAGGTATCAGATCATAGAGAAGCAGGGCTGGAAGGGACCTCTGGAGATCATCTA